CTTAAAAAGCATATGAATACATTTATATAATACACAAGAATTTGCCTATCTTTACCAAACATTATCAATTTAAGCTACAATACATTATACAAAAAAGCAAACTGCGACAAATGAAGGGGGATAACTTAGGTAACTTTACATATCCAGTATTTTAACATTTACTTCCCCTTAATAATTCATGATCAATATTAATAGAATGAAAAAATGAATACATTTACTGATTTTTGTACGTTTTTTATATACTATAAAGGAAAAAAAAAAGAAAAAACCCACACAAAACGGATCAATACCCAAAACAACTAACGCTAGACTTAATTATAAGGATTAGTTTTTTGTCAAAACATTTTTATCATGGTATTTTATATTTGGTTATGTGTTGAAAAACAGATATAGTTAATTTGAGAAGATACAAATATTAATAAATAAATAAAAAAAAATATATGTAATATATGTACAATTTCATATTCACATATAACTTTACAAATCTACATGATGGATATACAATGCGCATTTAACAGTTACAATGATACTTTTCCTTTTTTTTAAACAACAGAGAAAAAAACAGAGAAAGAGAGTAAAGCTTACATAACAGTATATTATAAACAAACTATCCCTCAATTTAAAAGCTTTATCACAGAATATAGCTAAATTTTTCAGTTCTTTCTTGCGACCAGTTTGCATTAATGAAATGAATTTAAAACATACTTGTGTTGCAATAATAGTATCTTGGAATGTATTGCTTTCTTAACTCAGAATATATCGGGACATTTAAGGATAAAGTGAAATTCATCTTCTATATCATTCATATAACATAAAGTGCACTTTCGTTCATTCCTTGGTACATTATTATGTCTTCCTAACTCGATATTAAGTTTGTGTGAGGAAGAGTCTTATTTTTTGCTAAAACATTTCTATATTTTACATTTTCAATACATTTTATATATAACGATTGTTCAAAATGTGATCTTATATATTCCCTAATATACATCTAACAATGATGAAGATTGAATACCATCATTCCAACAACTTATTATAAATATCCCGTAATCTATTCCTAAAAATAGGTACAAATAGTTTTATATTAACAGAATCGGGATATAACCAGACTTCATTAAATCCTGCTGACTGAAGAATGTTTTTTTAACTTTTGAAGCCCAGTTTGTTGAACAATTTACCACATCAACATCATATATCTGTCTACACAATATTGTTCTCAATATACCAATTATCTTTTTTACTTGTATTTAACTTAAGAAAATATTTAATCATACGAATATGCGCTTTCAATGTAAAGAGGAAATCTCCCCAATTCTGCATATAATGCCAAAGTATTTGTCGACTGTTTAACATTTAAAATAAACCTACAAAATTTTTTATGTACTCGTTCCAAAAACTTCTGCATTCATAGACCCCCATACTTCACAGCCATAATTTAAAATTGATAAAACATAGGCATCAAAGAGATTAAACATAATGTTAACTGGTACTTTGTAGTGACGTAACAATTGTAACAATGAATATAATGATCTGAGCCCTTTCCCCGGCTAACGTCTTTGTGGGTTGCCATGAAGCCCCAAACCATTTCTTGAATACCACACCTAAAAATTTAAAATAAAATTTAACTACCTCGACTTTCCTTGATTATTAAAAAAAACCCATTTAAATCCATATTACCAAGTCTCCCCTTTTCGGGGAATAAAATTTTAATTTTTTTTTTTCAACTTTTAAGGGGTCAAATTTCCCCAAAAACAATTAAAAATAGGACAAAAAAACTTTTCAAGTAATTTCCTTAAAACCCCAAACCTAATTCTAAAATAAAGGGCGGCATCGTCAGCAAAAAACAATAAAAAAAAATTTGATTTTTTGGTCAATTTAGCCCAACCCGTCAAATATTTTCTTGCGGGTTGAAATTCATATCATCCCAAGAACAGAGAGAAAAAAAATTGGGAGAAATTTTTTCCCCCGGGAATAACCAGCCCAAAGGATATTACAAAACGAGGGCGTTTTGTTTCTCCTAGTTTTTTATGTTTTCAAAATTTCCTCATTTGTATACGTTATCTGGGTTTCTCAAATTGCCCCGTTTTATACCCCCTCACCAAAAATTATTGAAAAAAAATCGTATACCCATTTTTTTCAAACTTCCTCGCTCCCCCTGAAAATTAAAATTGAAAAAATTTAATCTTTAAAAACAATAACGGGAAAAAACCCTTCCCCACAAACATTTTAAAATTTTGGGCCCTTTGGGGAATTTTTTTCCAAAAATTTCCCCCTTGGGTAAATTTCCCCCTTTAAAAATTCTTTTCTTTTTTTTGGAAAAAGGGTTTTAATTTTTAAAAAAGCATTTTTTTTGTTTTTCTAAAATTGATTTTTATAGTCTTTTCTTTTTTTAAAAAAAGTATATTTTCTATTTTCGAAGGGGAAAAGAAAAATTTTATTTTTGGGTTACAGCACCCCTTATATGCAGGCCAATTTTTGAGAACATAAATTATCAAAACCATTTCTTATTTTTTTATTATCACTAAAACAAAATTCACTGTCAAACAATATAAAGTTTCTTGAAATACTTATCACCATGTTCACACAAAAAATTAGTAAAAAAATAGAAGTCAGTTTTATCAACACTGTTTTCTCCATTAATTTCAGAACGTAAATCACTTTCAAGTGAGTTCAAATTTTGAGATATATCTCTCAAAAAAAATCTGGTATCTTTTATCAAACGATTTAAAACGTTTTATTTAGCGAAACAACAGCATATTTGGTGATTCGCAGAATTTTATCACGGGGTTTAAGTACCGATAATTAAATTACCAATGACACGTGGTTGATGTTTTTTTGGGACAGCGTTTCACACCATTTAGATAATGTGATTAAGAGGAACATGTATTGACTTTAAGCACGGATTTATCCGTGCTTTAAGGTATTAAATATTTTTTTTAACTTATTATTGTCGAAAATATTGCTTTTGAAGCTTATTATGCCAATATTTCACTCAAACTATGAGAAAAATTGTGTATATGAAATGTGAGACGTAAATAAAACATTTTGGAGCCTGAATCCGCCACTGATAACGGTCAAGGTTTTCTTTTACAAGTACTGGTGCACGATACGTTGCTAATTGCTTACAATTCTCGCGTAATTGATTACCGTGTGTCAATATCACAATTATGAAATATTTGGAATGCTTTTGATGAAATATACAATTTATACGCAACAAACAATTATTGAAAAGGTACACAATGATTAATGAAAGATAATAAATTAATAAAATAATATTATATGATAAAACTGTTATGATAATCCCCGTTGTGCCGAAATGTGTCCATTTCGCCCTAATTTAAATATCTTTTACAATATCCTATTTTCAACATTTTCAAAAATAAATAAAGTAAATCATTTTTAAAAGACTGTTACTTATTATTCTCAAATTTTTAAGTTATGTTCAAACATAAGAACTACCCGTTATGCAAATCTTCATTTTCCATTGCGCCGAAATTATGTCCATTTCGCCGTCCATTTAGAATCTGATGTATTCAGTATTCTACCTAATAAAATCAAACTTATACAGTATATGTAAAAAATATGTATAAAATATCAACAATACCAACTTATATGATTATTTTATGTTTTAGACATAAAAAAACTGTACACACTAAGTCTTTTGAAAATAAAATCTCCGTTTAGCAATAATCCATCGGCGCAACGGAGTTTATGAAAGGTACAACAAAAATACAATGAATGTTTATAATAAAAAAAAAAATTGATTCTGTAATATCAACATATTACTTTATTTAGAATATACTAATGCAAATTCAATTAAAAATTATGTACAGAAAAGCTATAAGATTACTTTTCGTAAAAAATAACGAATTGAACGGGAAAAAATGAAACAGATAGTAAAATCTATACTTGTCTTCCAATGTCAGCCGTAACGATAAAAACGTATTTCATTCTATTTTTAAATGAATAAAAACAGACATTTATTACACCACTTCAGTAATTCAGTTAATATCTTTAATGATTTACTTCTTCATATTACTACTTAATTCGGACAAACACTGTTTTCTTTTTAAATTCCGTTGCGCCAAAAAAAAAAAAAAAAAAAAAAAAATCTCCGTTGCGCAGACAAAATGTTCATTTCGCCGGCACACAATCCTTTACAAAATGAATATTGCAGCTCTTTGATTATTTGATATACGATTAAGGTTTTTAAATCTTTTTTAAATTTATTTATTCAAATAACATTGGTGTTAATTAATTTCATATAATAGTACAATAGTACAAACGTTGTGCCGATTTTCCCAAATTATCTCCGTTGCGCAATGAAATTTCCATTTCGCCAGGCATATTATAATCCTTCAGTGTATACATATACAATTTATGAAACATTTGAAATCATACTTACTTTATAGTCCTAAACAATCATTTTAGATGCTCAAATACAGCATATTGACTTAAAAAAAGGCGTTGTGTCGGTTTTTCTGAAAAAAATATCTCCGTTGCGCCATGAAATTTCCATTTCGCAAAGCATATGACCCTTCAGTGCAATTAAACATATACAATTTATGAATTTACTTACTAAATAGTTATAAACAATCATTCTAAATGCTTAAATATAGCACCTTGACTTTCTAAAAAATATATCTCCGTTGCGCCCGTTGCGTCCGTTGCGCCAAAAAATCTCCGTTGCGTATTTTAGTGGTACCCTTCTGACCCAGTTATTTTAGATAATAGCCGAACACATCCCGAATGCGATTTGACTGGTTCTCAGCATTTTTGCGCTCTCTGAAAAAGCCAGGTATAACTCAAAGAAATAGTTCGCAATCATTGCATAAGACTTCATCGAACTTGATTTAAATGGGTCTAGATGGATAATTCAATTCCATACTTAAAAAAATAACTCTGTGAACAACATTTTTCTTATATATTTCTTTTTCATTTTCAACATAAACTGGAATTTCATATTTTGGAAATTCAATACAGTTTTAATGAAAACTAGTCCCTGCGGATATAGATTTAAAAGATAGTTTTTTGGTTCTTCCTTTTTACGTAAAGGTCGTCGCGAACGTGACAGGCTTACCGGGAAGTAGGCAAGTTTTTCGTCTTTACAGTCGACCAGGGTACAAAAACATGAAAATTTGGAGTAAAGAGCATATATTTGAGTAAGTTTTATCATATTAATTTCTTAATTATTTACGTACTCAACACATTAAATTTAATATGCAACTAAATTTAAACTTTAATATTTTGCAATCATTCCCTGCTCACGTGTTGCCATTGACAGTGATCATTAGCTTGAAAACCAGACAGTTCATGGCATAGCAGATATGTCGAAAGTAATTGGTTTTAAAATCAAAATTATTTGCTCTTTGTCAAAAAAGTTATCCTTAGTTATGTAATGAAATCGTAGAAATTTCCAAGAACATTATACATTATAACCCCGACTGCTCAAAGAATCCCTACTAAGTCCGAAAGTAACTTAGGATGGTCCCCTATGGTACCACTGTTCTTATTATGTCCAGCAAATTGTACACATAAAAAGAACTTGTATTTACTATTTTAATAAATTGTGTTTAACTGTCGCATCTTGCCTTTAAAATACACCTGTCATTCATAGAAAAACTCAATGATTTAAATTAGAAACATCTATGGTCATTCAGCCATGTTTTGAATGGCAGCTTAAACGGAGAGCACTATGGTACCGTGGTTATGTAAATTGATGGCCCTTTTTGGCTTCAGTAGAACTTTTTCAATAAAATATGACGTCACTACAGTTTCAGCAGACGACCTTCACTTGTCAGAACATGAAATTATCAGTTTAACTGGTAAATGTGGGGTAAAATTTAAAAATATTTCCAACACACTCGGGTAGTTTTGGATTTTCCTATCAATGACAGAAATTTATTTAAAATGAAAATATTTCTAACAATTTTTATCCAAATTAAAAAAGCAGCACTTCCACTTTCACTTTAATGATGGAATCATTCAATTGGTCCCGTTCAGTGTGTAAAGAAACACATTTTCTGATTGCACCGGAATAGGCAAGGACGCGGTACCCGCGGGGAGTAGTATACATAGTTTTTTTTTTGTTATTATAAATTCTTTTAAGGCTCTAAGTGTTTTTGCTACTTTAGGCTGGCATTTCATCTATATGGGAATGTAAAAAACGAATGTTGAACAGAACTGTAAACAATTTTCTTTTGCCAGTAGAAATTTAAAAAACCGTTAAATGCCATGTTAGTGTGAAGTGCCACGCCAGGGTGAAAAGTGTGCATGCAGTCAATTTCTACATGAAGTGATATTTCACGCTCACGTCATTCGTAAATAACTTGTTGTCGGTATAAGCGTGAGGTGATTGAAAAGGTTACAGAATTTATCAGAAAATTCCATGTAAAATAATTGTTTTAGGAACCTTTGGGACATACCTCTACTAAATTAAAAGATTTAGAACTTGGTGAAGAACTCAAGAATCTAGTAAAGATTGAATCTTACTTTTGTTTGAACAAATAAATAATTTAATAGAAGTTTCATGTAAAAATAACCCTCACTGCTCATAATCATACTGACTCACCAATAAAACTAAACAGAAGAACAAAATAATTTCTTTATACGCATGCTAGAGGGATATATGAAATATTGTGCCCTTGAAATATCATGCCTCAAGTTTCATGTTCCAAAATTATGTTCATGTGGCACTCCAACCTCCAAACCAACCAAAAGCTTTTGTTATGTGGGAAGATTCCCTGAAAAGCAGTACCCATATTTTTTGTTTAAACTGTAAACTTGAAATGATATCATACAGTATTTTATAGATACTCACTACTATTTCAGTGTTTTTCCCCCTACTTTGGGAATGGAGCTGGTACCGGACAGATTGGGTGAAAAATCTATCGGTTGGACTCAAATTGGGAATTTTACATAAGATGCAAAATATTTTGTGGGGAATTTCTTTTATCCAGGACGACATGAAAATTATGCATAATAAACACTGTAAAACCATGTATTATTAACTTTAATGATTATTTTTGCTTCTTGAGGTTGAAAAAAAAATTGATAATCATAACAATTGTAATTTGTACATAAATAATGTTAAGGTGTGAAACACCAGGGTTTTTTTCCAGGATTTTGGGAACATGACCAATACCCATGGAATTGGGAATTTCAGCAATGTTTTGTTAAAATTTGGGAAAAATTGCATGACTTAAATTTTGCAGTGATTAAATGAATGCAAAGAATAACTGTCTAGGAAGGCATCTTCAAACTATTAAACACCATAACAGTGAAGAAGTCCTTATTTTCAAAGATTTTAGAATTTGTTATTAAATTTTTATGCCACCGCAGCATCTGCGATGCGGTGGCATAAAGTGATTCACCTGTGTGTATGTGTGTGTGTGTCTTTGTTTGTTTGTTTGTGTGTGTGTGTTATATAGATTATATAGTGAACTTAAAAAATCTTCTTGTGAAAAAACCACTAGTCCAATTTCAACCAAACTTGGCAGGATTGATCCTTGGGTGAAGGGGTTCCAAAGTTGTTCAAAGAATTTCATTCCATGCAGAAATCTGGTTGCCATGGCAACCAAAAGGAATTAAAAGAATAAATTTAAAAAATCTTCTTGTAAAGACCCAAAAGGCCTAGAGCTTAGATATTTTGCATAAGGCATTGTCTGGTAGACCTCTACCAAGATTGTTCAAATTATAGCCCTGGGGTCAAAATCGGCCCCGCCCCGGGGGTCATTGATTTTCACTATATGTACATATAGTAAAAACTTAAAATACCTTCTTGTAAAGACTGAAAAGGTCTAGAGCTTAGCAGGGCTAGCACTGGCAATTTTTTACTTTGAGCCAATTTTTCGCGGCCAAAATTGCCTGCCTGTATTTTATTTTCAAATCAGGCAATGGTACATCATGGGATATTTAGAAAAGCATTAACTATATCCAACTTAATTTTGGTAGCTACATTTTTATTACATTAACAAAATCTTACATATATGAGTATAATTTACAGTCAGTAATCATTATTTTAAGCTTAGAAGTCAGTAACTATAACATTTGCCAAAAGTTACATGTAGGCAACAAGGTTCCCTTAAAATCTAAGTCTGTGGCATGGTAGTGACATAAGGTCAATCTTTTTTTTTCAGGAATACTCTGTATGTCAAATAAATTCAATTTTATATTTTTGGAGCCATAATTAGGTCAGATTTCAGGGCCAAAATATCCTTCTTTCCCTTCTTTGTAGTTGCCCAATAAAGGCTGCTTCCCCAACCAAACTAGCCTCTTTTTTTCCCCCAGTTTGGTCCTCAAAATCTCCCAGTCTTTTGAAATTTCCCACAGAATTTAGAACAAAATTAAATGAGGTCTTTTACTGCCTTATTAGTATTTCCCACTGCTTTTTGATGTCCTTTTTTGAAGAACATTCCCACTGCTTTTTGCTTTTCTATTTTGAAGATTTTGTTAAAATTTTGTGTTAAATTTGAGACCTCTTTTTTCCCCAAGAAAAAGGCCGAAACCTCTTCCTCAAAAATGGTGTTTTGGCCGCAATAACACCCCCTCCCACCACCACAAAAAATCAACAACAATAACTCTATCATCAACAACGATAAAATTTACTGGTCAAGTTGCCAACGGCAGAACATAATTTGTCGCCATTTCATACCCAAAATGCTGATTTGATTAGTGATAATCATGAGATGCCGCTAGTTATTGTTTCATTTTGAATATTAAGACCAATTATCCAGTGCATATTCAACAATCTGACACAGGTATTTTTCACACCAATTTGAATTAGTGTCGTATTTATCAGCTGATAAACATGTAAACATACCCTGAGGTCAGTGTATTAGACTGTGTTACTGTTCATATCAATATTTCGTTCGGAAAGGAAGTTACAAATATAAACCAGTCAATGACCCACAAAAAGTAGACTGTGTCGCTGTGTTTTGAGATAAGAAGTGATAAAACGGAAGTTGTAGATGGAAAACCAGATGTGTACTTTTCCATTCTTAAAATAGAAAAAGCTAAATTTAGACTGGAGATTCCAAAAGTCATACTTTTCGAAAGTTTGAGCCAATCGTGATTTTCTTGAGCCAATTTAATTATTTTGGAGCCAATTTGCTCATTGGCTCCTGCCAGCGCGAGCCCTGGCTTAGATATTTTGCATAAGGCATTGTCTGGTAGACCTCTACCAAGATTGTTCAAATTATAGTCCTGGGGTCAAAATTGGCCCGGCCCCAGGGGTCATTGATTTTCACTATATGTACATATAGTAAAAACTTAAAATACCTTCTTGTAAAGAACCAAAAGGCCTAGAGCTTAGATATTTTGCATAAGGCATTGTCTGGTAGACCTCTACCAAGATTGTTCAAATTATAGCCCTAGGGTCAAAATTGCCCCTGCGCCGGGGGTCATTGATTTTCACTATATGTAGATATAGTAAAAACTTAAAATACCTTCTTGTAAAGACCCAAAAGTCCTAGAGCTTAGATATTTTGCATAAGGCATTGTCTGGTAGACCCTTACCAAGATTGTTCAAAGTATAGCCCTGGGGTCAAAATCGGCCCCGCCCCGAGTGTCATTGATTTTCACTATAATTTTATGTACATATAGTAAAAACTTAAAATACCTTCTTGTAAAGACCCAAAAGGCCTAGAGCTTAGATATTTTGCATAGGGCATTGTCTGGTAGACCCTTGCCAAGATTGTTCAAATTATAGCCCTGGGGTCAAAATCGGCCCCGCCCGGGGGGTCATTGGTTTTCCTTATATGTATATAGTAAAAACTTATAGTAAAAACTTTAAAAAAAATTCTTCTAGCAATTGACAAATGCTAGAGGTTAGATATTTTGCATGAAACATTGTGAAGTGAACTTCTAGCAAGATTGTTGTTGAATTATAGCCCTGGTGTCAAAATTGCCCCCGCCCCAGGGGTCATTGATTTTAAATATATATATAGTAAAAAATCTTATTGTCTGAAGGTACAAGGCTTAGAGCTTTAATATTTGTTAAATGATATCATCTATAGGAACTCTACCAAAGTTGTTCAAATTTTGCCTCTAGTGTCAAAATTAGCCCTGCCCCGGGGGCCATAGGTTTTCCTTATATGTATAAAGTAAAAACTTAAAAAATCATCTTCTTTAAATTTACAAAGACTAGAGTTAATATATTTTC